TTTACAAAGATACCATTTTCCTCGCCATTGACTAGTTTCCATTTGAAATCGATTATTCTAGTGAGACTGTCAATCACAAAGCCCTCCTGAAAATCTTTGCGGGCAATAATTTTCCTAAGGAGTTGCTTTCAATACGCTATTTATTTTCAGGAATTCGCGTGACGTGCTACGTAGCGAATGGCTAAGATTAATTCTGCGAACTTGAAAACTTTCGCTTGAAAGTGCTTACTTTGCTGGATTGAAAACTTTTCTACCAATTCTTATGGACGAGCTAAGGTTAAGATTTTGGAAACTTGAGCGAGAGAGAAAAGAAAAGATGATCTTAACTGAGGTAACTTTTCAGTATATGTAATGTGAAGGGGCTTTTAAAAAAAACTAACGGCATTAACTGGAGATTAGAACACGTAACCTCTGTCTCATTCGTAGCCGTTTACGGAGTTTCATAAAGAGTGCGTGACATCCCAAAAACGATTATGAACGCGAAGTGAAAATCTCTTAAATTATCTTAAGCTCGAGAAACACGACGGATGAACTTGGAAGGAAGTAATTGAAATTATAGACATAGCTAACCGCATGAAGGCGTTTGCACTGAATTAACATTAAGATCCAGTGTATAGTAAAGGCTACATCAATATTTACTAAATTTCGTCAATGGAGTCAATGAAGTAATGGTATTTGGTTTCGTGATAAACCTTGAGCTGAATTTTCTTCGCTAACTCCTTTTATTTCCTTTCGTACTTGAGACCTCATACAACTCGCGTGATACTGAAGTGAATTTCAACAACAACAACAACCTACTGCTCCCTCTTATATAGTTCCTTACAATCTTTTTAGAAGATTTTTTACAGGTTCACAACACGACTGTTTTCAGTAACACTACATCATAGACTTTCCAGAATTTACGCGCGGTAAACAAGGCAAGTTTCTATAAATAGACATCACGTATTTATGTCGAAACCACTAGAACTTTCCTAAAGGACTAATCAAGAACGCTCTGGAAATCATAGAATATTCGATAAATGTGCTGAATATCATGTCTTCTGTCCATATTCTTCCCCTCCTCGATGAGCCGTAGTCTCATCGACTGTAAACTCTGCAGCCTTATCCTTCAGCTGTCAGTCATCTGTTTCCCACTCCAGTGGACATAACTTTGATATGGGCCTTTCAAAGATCTTCTGACCAATTCTGACTTTAATTGGCAACTCTCACGTGTCCATCTTTGAGAGAATTGTCTCAGCTATTCTGCCCAACGGCCATTGTCCTCGTGGCGTATCCGGAGAAATTACCAGTACTATATCACCAACATTTAAGTCTTTGCCGTGTTTGAACCACTTTTTCCTGGCATTCAACTTCGGCAACCCTTCTCGCATCCATCGATTCCAAAAGTGGGGTTCTGTCCTCGTGTACCGTTTCACAAGAGCCAATACAAAAGACCAAACAATACACAATAGCTAACCGATAACTCCTAAACAAAGAAAGAACAATGGTAATTCCCTTGTGAACCGGTACACCAGGACAGAACCAAAAGTGGCGAATTAGTTCTTGAACGCGTCTCCATCTTTTACGAAGATTAAAATCTGTCTCGTCCACGGATTCTGGAGCGAACTTTCCACCGATCTGACCATGAAGAAAATGGTTTGGTGTTAATGAGACGTCATCTGCTGGATTGGCTGACTGAT